AGCCATCTTATCCCCCCTCCCTCCTCACCCTAAGCTCTGGGTGCCTTGGTGCCTGTGGTATCTCTACCCCCTAGAAATGCCTCTTACCTCCTCTTAACCCTTTGCCAGGAGGATTCCTGCTTCTCCTTAGGCTCCCTTCCTCCAGAAGGCATCCCTGCTTCTCACTTTCCTCACCGAAACCATGTTGTGGCTACTGTTTCTTTTCTGCATAATTGCCACCTCAAGCCTCCGTCCCGCCATTTCCCTCACTGAATAATAATCAGCTGCCTTTTCACGGTCAGTTCCTTGACAAATACTGGACACGTGTAGGCATTCAACTAGTGTTGAATGAGTGAAAGAATGCAGAGGAGGTGCTCAGGAAATTATTTTATTTCTTTTATCCCCATGCACTACAACAATCATCCTAAGTTGGTTTTGTTTCTTCTTTTTTTTTTAAGGGACGTGATTCAAAACTTGGGTATAAGCAAAGAAGATTAAGTACTGGAGGGAACAGATCAGCTCTAGGTATTAACTTACTTTATAAATAAATACTGGAGGCAAATGATAGCAACATCACAGGGAGACTAGAATTCTGTGACTACAGAGATGAGAGGCTGGATCACTTACTTCTTCCCTATCCTCTTTGATCAGCAACAGGCAGGCTCACACAGCAAGTGTGAGCACTGCAGGGCAATTGTAGGAAGCACAGGAGGACCCGTGGGCACAGTGCACCAGCGGCATCCTTGTCCATATAGCTTTTGATAACAGGGAATGATCCTTTCCATTAGAAACTGCTGTTCCGTTGTGATTCACAGCTTCTGCTTGCATCTTATTTTAAAGAGTCTGGTCCACATTGCTGCCTGGCTCTGTCTGGGAATCTGTTCCTTTTTTTATTTTTTTATTTTTTTTATTGTTGTTCCTTTTTCTTAAATGTTTTTATTTCTCTTATCTGGATGTAATTTACCACAATAATTTGCAGTTGGATGGCACATTGCAGCTTATTCAGCATGGACATGATCTCATTCGATCTTCACAACTTTGAGCCACGGAGAAGTTAAATAATTCACTCAGGGTCACATAGAAGATAATAGATGCAGAACCCAAAGTCCTCCACCCAGGCTTGCTTTCTTCTAGTCGGCTGTATTTTCCATCATGTCCCATTGCCTCGCTCTGGCCATCGTGATAATTGCTACCATTGCTTATAATGTGCCTGTGCTTTCATTAAGATGTATCATTTAATCTGTAGAAGTATTATCCCCATTTTGCCAATCAGGAAAGTACGATTTAGACGAATTAAATACCTTTCCCAAGATCATTCAGCTTATAAATAGCAAAGCTGAAAATCAAACCCAGGTTTGGCTGTGCCTAAAGCTGCTTAACCCACTCCATTTTAATTACTAAGATCTTGACTTCCACACCAGTGCTCGCAAAATTTAGGGTGCATCATAATTACCTTGAGGGCTTGTTAAAACAGAAGTCTGGGCCTTTCCCCCCAAGTTTCTGATTCAGCAGGTCTGGGTGAGGCTGAAAATCCCTCTTTCTACCAATTTCCCAGATGCTGCAGGTGATGCTGGTTGGGAGAACACACTCTGAGGACTCCCGTGCTGGGCTGCTCTGCCGCTGACCCTCGCCCCCTGCCTCCCCCCACACACACCCGCTTGCACTGGATTGCTACCAGCAAAAATGTGTTTCCTATGGAGGGGAGGGATTCAGATATGCATTATTACATGGCCCATTTTAAATGGAGTGTATCCCATACACTAGTCAATACAACTCTAAAGAGAAAATTATTATGGTCTCAGAGTGGTACTGGTTCCAGGTTAAATTCAGGGTCATGTCTTTTATATTGCCTTTTTCTTTGTGGTCGGTTATGAAAACTGTTCTACCTTTGGATCATCATCACCTGTACAGTGGGGAACTTAGTGCCCATCTGTGAAGGGTAACAAAACCTTTTATCAATTAAAGCTGAAAGTTCTCTTTTAGTTGCCTTTATCTGCATACCATCTTTCTTAGGATGTCACATGTTAATTGTCTCTTGTTTTTAAGTTGATCTTTTTCATTTACATTTCTAAATGTAATAGGAGAGAATCTCAGTCCCTATAAGAAGACCATCCCCTCAGCTAATCTGTCATCTGTGTTTCTCTCCCATCCGAAACTGCTGGTAACCACTAATCAGTTCTCTATCCCTATCATCATGTCATTTCATGAAAGCTATATAAATGGAATAATGCAGTATATATGCTTTTGAGACTGGCTTTTTCACTTAACATAATTTCCTTAAGATTGTTGTGTGTATCAATAGTTCATTTCATTTTATTGCTGTGAAGTATTGTAGGCTATAGATGTACAATAGTTTGTTGAATCATTCACCTATTGAAGGACATTTGGATAATTTCCCATTTGGGGCTATTAAACTGCTGTGAACATTTGTGGACAAGTTTCTATGTGAAAATAAGTTTTCATTTCTCCAGGATAAATGTCCAAGAGTGCAATTTCTGGGTCATGTGCTAAGCCGGGTGGCCTAAACCTCCTAGGAGGTCAATGTGGGGTATGGGAGAACATCAGAGTGGAGAGGTGGGTCTACAGACAGGCTGAGTAGCTGACAAACTTTAAACATTGTCCCCCTTGTAACACAGTAGTAATTCATAGGTTTATATGGTCAGAGCCCAGTGGTTGATGAGCTGAGCATGGTTAGAAATCTGAAAGTCATTGCTTTAAGTTTTATGTTCTGTATGTGTCTTTTCATGTCACATGTTAAACATTCATTGTTAAACATACACATGAGCAGATACTTATATATACATATATACACACATACATACAATGGGTATGGAAATCTTTGGAGCCATGATATATTCTCAAAGGACATTCTTCTTTCCTATGTAAAAAGGATAACATACAAAATAATGGAATGTTCAGTCTTTAGTCATCAAGCCCAACTGGCTCATTATTCAGATGAGGAAACTGAGGCCAAGAAAGCTCATGGATTTTGTTCATAATCTCACAGCTACCCAGAGGGCTGCTGGTTCCTGTAGGAATGCTTGTCCCACATCATCTCCTGTTAGCTATTATGTTAATGAACACAAGCTTCAATCATGTAAGCTTTATCACTGCATCAGCAAATACTCCTTTATACAACCACTAAAAATTAACACCCTAGAAAAACTGTCATTTGGATTTTTCCTCTAAGCTTTCTGCCCTTCCTCTCCCTCCATTCTTTCCGTAAAGTAAATTCTGCAACTGGCAACTTTCAAACTTGTTATAATCCAGAACATTAATACGGTTTTACATTTTTAGCAGCTTAATGATGAGGCTGTAGGACCTTCTGCTAGCCCCTCAGGGGTTTCTATTCTGGGCATTTATTCAGTTTTGCTGTAGTCTGAAGTATATTTGACCTTTTTATATTAAAACTATTTCAGTTTAAACTTTACACACATATCTGTGGGCATGCGTGTGTGTGTGTGTGTGTGTGTGTGTGTGTGTGTAGAAATATTTCCCTTTCCCTCTTCTCCATCGATAAGGCAGAAATTCAGACATTACTGACAGTTGAGCTTGAAGATACTTGTCCATTATTTCCCTGTTTGGTGAGGAAAAGAGAAACCATTACCATCATAATTTAATATTTTTTATGTAGCTAAATTTGAGCCCTCTTAAAAATCTTTTCTACTTTGAAGTCTATTTTGCAGTTTAATTAATGCAGCAAGGCTTTTTATTTTACTCTCAATGGAGATAATCTTAATCCATTCACGGTGACCTTTTCTTGTGCAAATTAGTTGTACGAGCTTGTTTAAGCAAATGGTCCTTTGCATGATGTCTCTTCTTAATGATGGGTTTATAATTGAAAATTGGCTTACTCCCATATGCCTAGTTTGTATGAGAATATAAAAATAGATGTGGACTTAAAAAATATAAATGTATATATCAGTATCCCAAAAAGAGGAGAGAAGAATCCAGTGCCTTCAGGCTATGATTAAATTAGACTATTAAGTCAGAAAATGCTGGTGACATATGCTGCCGTCAAAGTCACACCTGTCTGCTGAGCATTGGAAACTCTTGAAAAATGAGAGGGATTTCATCTTAGTTCTGAGATTCTGGGCCTTCACAGGACACAAGCTATCTCTAGTTTCCCAAGTTTTCTTAAACTCATAATGAACTTGATATTGTGTGTTTAGCAATGTGTTGTGGAAATCACTTTTAAGGTGATAACCTTAACATGAAATGCTGGTTAGCTTTTCCACACTTCACTAGCAGAAAGAGACAGGCAACAGGTTATATTTTGTATTTCTCAAGTGCAGAAACAGTGTAATGCCGTTCAATGGTATTTGAGGGAAAGAAACAATCATCTCTTCTGCAGCCCGGTTTTCTGCAAGCCCACTATGGTTTTTTTTTCTCTTGTAATTCCTCCTTCCTGGTTTTTTAGGCTAACACCTTCTATCCCACCTCCTCTTTCCCCTGTAAGTCATGTCAACCAATCTTATACACGAGTATTGGGGATAATTACATATTCTTGGTTAGAAGTAGAAATTCCAGCTTGAAGGGGAAAAATAATTGTTGTTTTGTGCTTGTAATGGAGGTTTCCTGAGTAGGTTTTAATAGCCTAGTGTTGTAGGGTGTGAAACAAGGACAATCTTGGCTTCTCTGAATGACATGGCATTAAAAAGAACAACTAGCAGTGTTTTTTTTTTTAAGCTTATGCGGACAACCTGTTTCATCAAGACACAAAAATCTGGTTCTGGAAGCAATGGCTGGACAAGCCAAATTGTAACTAGGAGTATCAGACTGGTGTTTTATGTACTGTTTGCAAAAGACCCTCATTGCTTTGTCCAACATGAACATTCACATTTTTCTCCTTCATGCAACAATTCCCAGCCCCAAAACTCAGAAAATGAAAAAGTACGACCTGCCCACCTGGTGTATCTCTGCCTTGCACTAGGTAATTTCATGCAGGTGTGCACCCAGAGATGCTCGTTCATCCCCCACTCCTAATGGGTCTTTGCCGATTTCTCCTCTTCTCCTTCCAGGTATGATTATCGGGAAATGCTGCACAATGCCACTTTCTGTCTGGTTCCTCGTGGTCGCAGGCTTGGGTCCTTCAGGTTCCTGGAGGCTCTGCAGGTAAGAGATCCTGAAACCTCTGCAGAATAGGGCTGAGGACTGAAGTCAGACGGGGTGGGGGTGGGAACTTAACCTTAGCACGTACCTGAGGATCTGAACAGAATGCATGGTTTGCCTGGAACACCTGAAATCTGTTTTCCCAAGAAAATCTGCCACATTTTTTATAAGTGGGGAGTAAGGAGGAGATTTACTCCCTGACTTTGGACATGAAAAGATGAAATGGTTTCACACCAGGGAAGATGGATTCTTCAGAGACATGTCTGTAAACAGGGCAGATGTGATTGCTGGCCAGGCAGCCTAGCTGGGCACCTCACAGACACTGCCCCTGTCCTGGAAGTCAGCCTCAAGCCCTCTGATAATAGCTTATTGGTGGTACTTCCCCAAAGCAAAATTGTCTGTTGTGTCCTCCCCTCAGTAGTTGCTCAGTTTCTCTAAGATCTGAGATTGATGCTCACTATCCCAAGGCTCTAAGGTTTGGAGGGCCCCCAGCTGCAGCTCCAGGGCCACGTAACAGTCTCTCTGCCCTTTAATCTTGCTGCAGAAATGCCTTCGCCAGCTGAGACTGATGTCCATGCTTCCTACCTGGAAGTTGTATCCAGTCTCCCTTGGTCTCGATAAAGCATGCTCTCACCCACTCTCCTCCTCCACTCTTTGTCCCCTTGCTGCTGTGCTCTTTTCTCCTCTCTCTGCACCTTGCCTGAATCTGTGTGTTGTCACAGTGCCCCCTAACTTCTATCATTTTGTCGTGTCCACAGCCAGAAAAACTTCCTTCTCTTGAAAGTCTTTTCCAGTGTGCTGTGTGTTCTGCAAAGCATACCGTCATTAATGTCTTTGTAGTCTCTTTGGGCTGTTGTGTGTAGCAAATTGTTCTCTGGTTTGGATTATGTTATTTGGAACCAGAATTTTGTCATTGGCCTGGTGTTTCTTGGCTGTTAGGTCCTCTGTTGAGAGTCCACTTGTACAGCGGAGGTTTGGATCCCTCCACACTGAGTGGGACAAGGTCCTGGGTCAGATGCACAGCAAGGGAAAGGTGAACATCCTGTAGTAGTTAAGTCCACAAAATGCTTCATCAGGACTGCCAAGCCTCATTCCGCTCTTTGTTGTTCATAACCTGGGGGTAAACCGCTCTGCAAGCAGACTTGTAGCAGTTACACTGACAAAACCGTTTATATTCAAGGTTGGTTTTATACGGATATTGTTGATGAAGAATTTTGTTACATCCATAAAACTTCCCCAGTGAGGCCAGTTTTCTCCGTTGGAAGTAAGGTCAAACTATATACCACAACAGAAATGAGGTTTTAGCATTCTAGGGTTAAGACTTGCAAATCTTAAAATCTCAGCTGGATACATACGACCTTCATGTGACTTGACAACTCACAAAAGCTTACTTTTCTTCTGGCCTGAGCAGTCCATGATCCATGCATGGTACAAAATGCCAGTCACTGAATTTGTACTAATTCCACCCCTGATTCTTAGAGCCCCTGCTGCAGTGTTCTTTGCCCTCACGAACTCCCCTTCTCTGCACAGGCTGCCTGTGTCCCTGTGATGCTCAGCAATGGATGGGAGTTGCCATTCTCCGAAGTGATTAATTGGAACCAAGCTGCCGTCATAGGCGATGAGAGATTGTTATTACAGGTAAGGAAGGCACTGTAGCCTTCAACAGATCAGTGGATTATTGCTGCCCTCATCCAAACTTTCAAAGAAGATGAATCCAAAAGGTCAGCTCTATAAAAGAAATTTTATCAGGAGAAAATTGCCTGTGTCATGGAGAATATGAAGTTATTTAATATGACATTGTTCACTTTCCAGTACAAAATCTGCCCGAGTCCAGGGAATATATTCAGAAAAGGAGAAGTTGCAGGTAAAGGACATGAACTTTGTTGGTGAGAAGAGAAATGTAGATATAGCCATCCTCTTCAATAACCAGAATTTTTTAGAAATGGTATCAGAGAGTGCCACCACTTCATGTACCTTTCCCCTGTCTCTGTGATTGCCTTCACATTAATTTTCAGAAGGAGAGAGGTCTCTGGAGTTGATGCTTATAATTAGTGTTACCGTTGCTCAAATGATCCAGTCTGGGTGCCTGAGCAAGTGTTATCTTTAAGATGTATATTTAAAAGAGCAGCCTCTAATAAATGGTTTTTTAAGTGTATTTTTGATGATTTGACTTTTTTTTAATTTTGTTGTTGTAAGACCCTTAACATGAGATCCACCCTCAACACATTTTAAGTGCATAATACGTTATTGTTGACTATAGGTACAATATTGTACAGCAGGTCTCTAGAGCTTATGCATCTTGCTTAACTTAAGCTTTATGACCATTGATTAGTAACTCCCCATTTCTCCCCTTCCTTACCCCTTGTAAGCCATTATTCTACTCTTTAGTTCTATTAGTTTGACTATTTTACATACCTGATATAAGTGGAATAATGCAGTATTTGTCTTTCTGTGACCGGCTTATTTCACTTAATATAATGTTCTCAGTGTTTACCCATGTTGTCCTGTATTGCAGAATTAAGATCACCCAAAGTGATCTGTAGATTCAGTGCAATCCCTCTCTAAATGCCAATGGTTTATTTTACAGAAAGAGAAAAACAATTCTAAAATTCATAAGGAACCACAAAAGACCCCAAATAGCCAAATCAATCTTGAGAAAGAACAGGCTGGAGATATTATACTTCCTGATTTTGAAATATATTACAAAACTATAGTCATCAAAATGGTATTGCACTGGCATTCAGATAGACTGGAATGCAAACGAGAGCCCAGAAATAAATCCATGCATGTATGTTCAACTAATCTTCAACAAGGGTATCTAATACAAGTTTGAACTTCTCAAGAGCTGCCTGGGGAGTGAAATGCAGTACTTACAGAGAAATCTGAGAGAAGTAACTGTCAGTCACTAAGGATTTGTAAAGCCTTTTTTATGATAATGCTTTAGGTTCAACATAAAGTGTCATACTACTTTCTCTAAAATTATAGAATATTTTAATGCTTTGCTTTCATGGCATTGTGTGCTTTATCTTGAACTACCACAAATATTTGTAGAATGATTGTTTTTTAATGTCCTTGCTCTTTTTTTTGATACCCAGAAAGTTGAGTTTCTGACTTTATTGTTGATTCTACTTTTGTGTTGTTGTACAGTCAGTGAGCTCTCCTTAAAGTAGCAGGTGAAATATCTGTAACTGAGAGGCCTGTGAGTTAATTAGCCAAGCTGAACACAGCTCCCAAAATGTTCCTTCTGTCTGATACTCAGGTCTGTGATCTCTGTGGCCCCTGGAGCCTCCAAAACAGAAGAGGAATGTGTGATCTAGCCATATCCTTTCCATGCAGAGATGATGTGTGCCAAAAACATTTGCTCATGGAAAGGCCAGACAAAAAAGATAATATGTGGTTCTTTTCCATGTTGCTGTTTTCTTTTTATGATGTTTTAAAATAATTCATTCTCACTAAAGGAAATTTGGGGGGGAAAGGGAATAAAGAACATCAGCTATAATTTCTCTGTTTATGCACCAATGCTCCTGTGAACTTGATATGAATAAGTTGGGAGGTTGTCTTTGAGATGGAGAGCATTCCAGGATACTTAACGGTTTTTGTCCAGTTTCTACCATTTCACCACAGTTGATGTGTATTTCACTTTCTGAAGCAACTCTTTGGCTTAACTCAGATTTTGTCTTCTATCCTGTACCCACCATATTGCCGGTATTTACCCCTCTCCTATGCAGTCTGTCTTTGCACAGCTTCCTTCATATTGAACAATAACTATACTGTCATTGACAATGGTTTTAAAGAGCTGGCACCGAGCCCAAATGTCTGGTCTGGGAAATGTTTTTGTTATGTTACAGTTTTTTGTCTACGGTTTTAGAACAGCTCAGATGTTTTTATTTGCATATATTCTTGTCATCATGTCACCAGGAGAGCTTAATGTTGCTCTCCTATATCTATTTTGGTAGATTACATTCATTTCATTACTGTACATGACCTTTTATTAAGATCTCATTGAATTCTACAACTTCAAACAATATAGCCAAGTTGGAATTAATTTACCATTTTCCTATAGCTGTCTTCCAGAACAAGCAGATTAATAACCAATAGCCAAATACCATTAAAACTTGGAACTCTGTCTTTTCAGTCAGTGTGAATTATTTTCCAGAGCACTTCGCAGAGCACTGTCATGCAGTTGTGTCTTAGGTACAAACAGGTAGAATATATGTCACTTGATATAGTAACATCAAGATGTGCCTTATGTAAAAGAAGGTAAGCTTATTATATAAGAGAGGATATTTGTAAGCTAATCTATGATATTTCCTTTCTCCTTTCTTTACCATAGCCTACTCAATTTTCTGGAAACCATATAGTGATGATAGCTTGCAGCATTTTTCTAATGAACTGGTTCCTTGTGATCACAATGAAACAGTGAAGTCAACCTATATGACTCTTCCAAGAGTATGTGATTATGAAAATTGAGCAGGATAACTTTTTTCTAGTCTCTCTTTAGCCATCTAGGTAATTTTTCTCAGTAAATAAATATAAATGTTCTTTGCCTTATCAAGGATCCATGATATGAATGGTTTCCCTTCCTGTTCCAAGGGTACTTTACTTCCATATGACCTTGGACTCTGATATCAGGCTAATGTTCACCTGCCAGTATTTCTCCTTCACCTATTGCTTCCATGTTTCTTCAGTGTCAGCCATCCAGATGCACACCTGGGGGCACAGACTGCACACCTACTTTAGACACTGTCCTTCTGTCCTTGCTGTGAGGCAGTTTCCTTGCTCCTCCTAAGAGTAGTCTTGAATCAAAAATGTGCTACCACCTCCTACACCTCCAGTGGAAATTCAGATGGAGTCTCAGTCACAGTGACCTGCGTGACTCTTCTTAAAGCAGGTGACAGAGCATTCCTGCTCCAGCCCAGGACCCCATGTTAGTTACCCATCAGGGAGGCAAGCATGCAGAAAGAAGTGAGTACAAAAGGGCAGTTGCTAATCACAAGGAATCTCTCCTAAGAGTATAGACTCCGCGAATGAAATAGACCTTGAACTATAGGTGAAGATAGGGAACAAGCCCAGAAAACTCACCAGAACCCAGGAAGTACATTTTAGAGATCCAGATCTGAGCAAGTTCACATATAGACATTAAACAATGGGTCCAGCTTTGACTATCATCACCTTTATGTCAGTAGCCATACCAATAATTTGCTATATTAATTAAGTGTCTCATGTTCTAGGAACTGTACTAAGCACTTATATGGTCTTCATTACATCCTTACTGATGTTAATACTATATCCCCATTTTATAAATGAGAAAGTGGAATCTTTGAGAATTCAAGTAACTTGTCCATGGAAGCACAGCTTATAAATGGTAGAACCAAGAATCCCACCTTGTTCCAACTTCTGCATCCCTGTGCTTCACATTTAAGCTACACTGCTAATAAAATAATGATATCCCTATGGTGTCTTCAGATGGCCATGTTCAATTCAGCTTTTATTTTTTGAATAGCTACTACATGAAAGCCACTCTCCTAACCTAAAATGAGCAGCAGGATGGACAGGACATAGATCTCTGCTTTAAAATTGTGCAGCCTGGTAGAGAACAGTGATGCTAAACATATATGCTATTTGACAGATCATATGAACTGGTGTAAGTGCTAGAACCATAAAGAGAGGTCTGGAGAGCAGAAAAGCTCTCAGGGTGAGGCAGGGAGTATGTGCACATGGAAATGATTATCCCCACCTGTAGATTAACTGGAGAGTCTCAGAAATGTTCCCTGAAATGCCCTTTGTAGTTAATTTATAGTCCCTGACGTGGCATGTCTTAGAAGTGCTTGGAGGACAGTGTCTTTCAGCCTTTCCCCAAGATGTGGAGATCCTTCTCCACAGAATTTGGTTGTGTATGTGTAGGAAGAAGAATTTGAGGGACTCTGAGTGGAGAAAACAGCAGTTGCTATTATAGGAACGCCCTAAACAACAGATAGGCTGCCACCAGACCTTAGAGGTGCGCTCTGATTTGCATTCATTTACAGGTAAATGCTGTTTGTGCCCAGCAATTCATGAGAGCATTTCAATTTAGGAATTGGTGATTTTTAGTAGATCTGTATGCTAGAAGCCGAACACTGTGAAGAATAAAAGCCTAACCCAGGTGTGTTCTTTTGCTCAAACAGCATTTCATTGTGTTACAGTCATAGTTATTATGTGTTCACCTTATGTTACAGATTCCTTCTACAATCAGGTCTATTCATCAGGATAAAATCCTAGCACTTAGACAGCAGACACAATTCTTGTGGGAGGCTTATTTTTCTTCAGTTGAGAAGATTGTATTAACTACACTAGAGGTAAGTGAGACCCCTTGGCCCTTGGTCTTGAATAACAGTCCTTTACACACCTCTCTCGGCCTTCTCTATTGCTATGGAAGATGTGTAATTAGTCAAATGAGGCACAGCCGAATTTTCTGTAGTTGGAAATGTCGATTAACCCCCTTTTACCTGCTCTGCTATGCCAAAGAACACCTCCATTCCTGACAGACTCCACAGAGGGAAACTGACACAAGGCGAAATTACACTCCTGGGCTCAGAGATCAGCTCTGTCTTATATCATTTCAGGGATATGTGGCTAATGATGGTCCTCCTGTCATTCACACTCAATGGCATCCTTTGAAGACATATTTCTGGAGCCCATTTAAAGAACAGATAGTGGCCGACTAGGGAAAATCTCCCATTCTGAAAATAAAGATAGTCTCCTGGACACCGTGGTCCAGTGACATTGTGGCACAGCAAACTTCATTCTCAGGACACATGCAACCCAACCAGCATTGATGCAACAAGGATGTGTTAAGAAAATCAGGATGACACCCGTGTGGTGCAGAAAGTGTTAACCTTTATGAAAGCAGAAAATCAAGCAGATGGGTGCCCATCTTCAGGTTGCTTTTTTTTTTAAGGCAGAGGAAAGAAAGGAAAACGAAGCATGGAGATGATTAAAACCTTTGGAAGTAGAGCAGATAGCAGCAGCCTGAGGCGACACCAGAGTGACTCGGAGAGCTAAGAAAAGATTCAGGCAACTGCACACTCAACAATTCCAGGCTGGTGGGAAGGAGAGCAGAGGTCCTCTGCTGGGGCGCAGCCCTGAGGGATTCGGAGGAGGTTCATGTAGTGGGGGGGAGGGGGCATTCGTGGCCTGCCTCTGGAGTAGTTACTTTGGAAAAGTGATGACTGCTCCAGAAGCCAGTACAATCGGGAGCACACACTGAGAAGTCTGAATAATACCAGGAGAGCTGAAGTCACCCTTTTTGTCCATGTTCTGGACATCCTGGGTATCAGAACCAGTGCTGGTCACGCCCAGCGTAGTGGGGTACTCGCCTGCCCCAGGCCCTGTTTGGCCTCCTCTCACTTAGGGACAAGCTCTAGTTGTGTCTGCTCATGGAAATGCATTTTTTGTTTCCCCTGAACTAAGTGGAAAGGGCTGTTTAGGACCCAGGCCAACCCCATGAAGGGAACAGGGTCAGAATGGCTTCCAAAGGCTTCGTATTGCAAGTGGGCTTCTTTTATTCCTCCAAATCACTCTCTTCAATTAAAATTAAGTTTACTCTCCTGTTTCTGGCAGCAGATTTGAATATGTAATAGTATCTACCCTTTTCTTTGATATTGTCCTCCATCTAGGACATGTCCTAGGCCCTTCTTAAGGAAAGTTGAATGTCAGCTTTTTTTCTTTATAGAAATGAGTGCTTTTTACCTAAGAAGTACATATTCATTTTAGAAAATAATGGAAAATGTTTAAAGCATAAAAATAATCTACCCATACAAAATCACTATTAATATATATATTGTTATTTTCTCTGCAAATTTATAAATGTGTTATAATTTAACTTTAAAAAGAAGTCTTTCTATACTTGGTTTGTAACCTGTTTTTTCTACTTAAGAATATGTTAGTATTTTCTCATGTTATTAGATGTTTCAATATTTATTTTAATGACTGTATAATATTCCATTCATGATAACATTAATTTCTTTAATCCCCAATTTGAGGACATTATAGTTGATTCTGGTTTTTCATTATATACACATTGTTGAAGTAAATAGCCTCAGTGCCAAACTGTTGTGCAGGTTAAGGTTACTTCCTTAGCATAAATTCTTTGAATTCCAAGTAGTGGTTCAAAGAATATACCAAATGCTAATCTTAATATGAATTGTCAATTTTCCCTGCAATAAGAACTGGACTAATTTATATTCCCTCCATCTTACATGGGAAAGCCCTTTTTGATTATTTCTGTTTTTTAAATTTTCACCAATATTGGGCATTATATCTTTCAAAATGATAAATTGTCTTCTTACTTTATATTTCTTAGGACATTAGTATTCCTACTAATATTTTTCCTGTATTTCTCACCCAGGCAACTTACAAAGAAAGAAATAGAAATGACCAGAATGTTATGAGAAAAAATGTCCCACTTTTTTTCATAAATTTTTAAGAGCTTATTATATTAAAAATACTAATGCTTCGACTCTTTGGTTGCAAATATTTTCCCCCAATTTGTGGTATGCCTTTCTCTTTTATTTATGATTGGGCAGTCTTTTCATCTGTGGCTTTTCCATTTGTGTTGTTTAGAAAGGACTTTTGACTCATACTTTTATTTATACATATACATTCACTTAATTTTTTCTAGTACTTTCATGGTTAACTTTTTACACTTAACTATTTAATCCAATTTACTTTTATATATGATCTGAGTTGAAAATCTAATATAAAAAATTTTTTGGACAAATTTTGTAGTTGTCCCAACACATTTCTTAAGTTACTCCTTCTTCAGTGGTTTCCCATGGCACATTTATGCATTTTGGGGTCTGTTTCTGGCCTTTTAATTTTGCCCTGTTCATTGTCTACTCTAAAATACCTGGACCACATATTTTCACCTTTTTCACCCTGTATGCCATCCTTTAGTAAACCTCTATTTAACCTATCTGCTATGGACTGTTAATGTTGTTTCTAATTATTTATTTTGTGTGTGTGTGTGTGTATATATATGTATATGTATATATATATATTTATAGAGAGAGAAAGAGAGACAGAGGTCTTTGTCCAAACAGTGAGTTTCTGTGTGTATCTTAGACTACATCTTTATTTCTTTAGGATGAAGTCCTTGAAATGGGATTATTCAGCCAAAGAATCTAGGCATTTCTAAGGTTCATGATCTGTATTGCCAAATTACTCTTTTAAAAAGTTGTATCAATCTCAGTTCTCACAATCCGTCTCAGGGAGATACTCTCTTGCTGCACTCTTATCAGCTCTAAGGATCATGATTAAAACACACACATACACAACTTTGCTAATTTGCTAGATGAAAGATGGTATCTCATTAATTACATTTCTTTTTGAGTATGGTTTATTGTATAGATCTGGTCTCGTGCTTACTAAGTAGTAGTCCTCAGTTATCCTGTAAGAACAGTTGGATGTGTTATATTCATCTGAATAGGATCTCAAGACAAGCTGTTTTCATCTCTGTGCCTGGAAAGGCTTTCTTCCCCTTGGATTTAAGCCATAGAGTTCTTTAGCAACACAGTTGTTTTGGAAACACTACAAACCATATACTTCATTCAAATTTATGACAACTGTCAAATCTTTTCATATAATTCCAAGATTGGATTGTAACAGTTTGACCTCTGAACCAAATTGCATGAAAAATACCATCAAATTTCCCTTTTTAATTCGGAATTCAGACTACTCCGGAATTCAGCATAATCAGAAATGCAGAGAAAATAGCAAATGATGTCATCCACCTACACAATAAAGGCAATATGTTTATTAGAATGATTTAGGTACCACATATCAAAAATGTCAACTTGGCTTAGAACTTTGTAAGTAATTTGGTCCATGCTGGAGTCCCTAAAATAATGAGGATAATTCATAGTTACCCTTAGACAACATAGATTTGAAGATCCCTTGGGATATTCTATACTCAGACTCTAGCATGTGGTCCTTTCTTCCTTGCTTGTTGTATTCTAGGCCACAGGCAGGGGATTACTCAGTCTTTGAAGATGATGAGCCTTCAAAGGGAAGGTGGTACTTAGACACAACTGAAAACAGGATACCTCATCCTGCTCTCCAAAGCCAAGGTCAGGTTGTTAGTACATTTCATTAGATTGTACTCTGTCATTCTTAGGATTCAGCTAATATTTCCAGTCTGGTTGAAATTTCCAAATTCTGCATCTTAGAATTAAAGAGTTATTTGATCAGCTCTAGGCTCTTTGGAGCTCAATTTTTTGTGTGCCGAGTTAAGAGGTAACAGTAACAGTTACCTCTGGGGTAATATGAAAAAGAAATGGGGACAGTAACAAAATGCAGCCAAGACAGTGTTCCTTCATGGATTCCATTATTTGTCAGGATACTGCACAACAGTAACCTGGCACTAAGGACTGAACCATAGGAGCTCAGTCAGCATCAAGGTGAGCAAAAGAAAAGTGCATGAGATTACAATAATATATGAAAACAGCTAATGGTAAGCTAGAAAACACATTTTTAGCAGAGTTTTATGAAGTAATCTCCATTTTGCTCTCTTTAGTTATCTAACTATGCACATTCAACCCATGGTATTGCTGTGCTGTTGTACACTGAAATTTTTAAATCAAAGAAATAATGGAGATAGAAGATTGCTTTGGCTTGGAGTGAGGTGGCATATGGTGGCACTGTGTGTATTAGGCAACAGTGTATTGGTCAAAAGACCAAGTCAGGGCCACACAGAATGATGTAACCTATAAATGGCAGTCCACTATTTTAAAAAGGAAATAAAAAAGGCACATAAAAAAGAAAAATAAAGAGTCTGTCATTCTTCCCTTTGAATTCACATTAATAAGAAATATCCTTATTGCCATTTGGGGCTATAATGAAAAAAATCTTTATGCATGTGTATGTGTCTCTCTGTGGATTTTCATTGTAGCTAAAGAAGTATCCAGCCTCTGAATGTGATGTCTTCTTCCACAACAATAAAGAGTGAGCTCTGAGTGCCCTGAAAGTGTCCTGGCAGCTGACCGGTATAGTGGTAGGGGAGAATTGGACATTAGGAGAGAGACAAAGTGACCTCTCTATTTCTTGAAATGAGACACATACTCTTTCAAACTTTTGAGAAGGCAAGTTGATATAAACCTTTTAGGAACAGACTTGGCAGAACACATGAATAGCTTTAAAAGTATTCATACCCTTTGACAAAGTCCTAAAGAATCATTTCTAAATGTGGAAAAATTTAATTCATAAATAAGCTCATTGCTATGCCTGGAAAAAGTTGCACTATAGTCCTGTAGGATAAGTAAACCATGATTATTCATAATATGAAAAAAAATCTATAATTTGAGATATAGCTGTATAAAAATGGAAAAACCTGGGCGTAGAAAATCAACATGAGAATGAGGGGGTTTTTTTAAGGGAAAATAATAGAGTCTTAAGTATAATCTTAGCTATTCCTACCAAATTCTGAGAGGTTGTTTCAATTAATGTGAAATATTATTGTTTTATTACAAATTAGGAAAGTAAGACATAAAGGAGACAAATTGCTCAATCCAAGTTAAATTTAACATTTGCTATCGCTCTTACACCTTTGCTGATATCAGTCCTTCATGACCCATTTGAAAGGAGTACAAAATGCTTATTGGTGTTTTGAGAGAATAGTATAACTTATGTCCTTGAATTAAAAAAGATAAAAACATTATGATGCTGAACCAAAAAGAGTCTGTGACAATGAGAAGCATACCACCTGGGGATCCAAAGTGAATGGTGACCTATTTTATGACATTTCTGGGTTT